AGCAGAGGGTGGCCTGCATCTGAAGTATAAATCCTAACCTGATCCTTGCCTAGTGGGATTATTCCTCACCGGAGCTTAGTACTAAACTTTATGAGCCACTCGACTTTAACTTTCATAACAGAACTGTACTTTTATTACACAAAGAACAAAAGAGGTTGCTAAAGGCCATGAACAAGGAAAAAGACTCAGAGCTGGGACTAGAAAACCACAGAGAAAGGCAGCAGAAATTATCCGAGAATAGAAGAGGTTTAGTTTGAAGAGAAGCTAAAAATCTAGAACTCCATGACTTGGAGAAAAAATGCTGCCATGTATGAAAATAAACTGTCTTGGTTTGTCTTTGGCAACCTAAGACATAAACCCAAAACCTTCAAGAAGGTAAAAAGCAGAAGAACAGGAAAAAAAACTTTTCATAAATTTCTAGTTCTACAAGAAGTAGGAGTTACCAAATGAAATAAGGTGGTGTGGTTCAAAACAAACAAAAGGAAGTACTTTTTCACCCAGCACATAATTATATTGTAGCATTATTAGACACAGGATGTTGCAGAGGCCAGAAATACACAGAGATAAAAAATTAAAAAAAAAAAAAAAGAAAAGAAAAAGGAAAAATAAAGTTTCTTCTGTGAATTTGCTTCATCTATCAAGGCTCCTAAACGCAGTGATGCAGATGCTGTTTCCTTTCTGCAAGCCCTTCCAACAGTGGTTGGTGAGGTCAGGAGCAGTACAGCAGAGGAGCTGCACATCCTGATGTGCACATCTGCACAGCCCTGTCAGACGGGGGATGGCAGCTGGTCCAACATCACAGCAGGGAGTGCCATGCTGGTGAGGACACTGGCTTGTTTTCAGACTGTCAGATCACTTATGGTTACAGGGACTGACTCACCTCAATGACCAAAATTTAGGTATTTTGATCAGACCTCTACTTATTTTAATCAGCAGGGACCTGACGAAATGACAGAAACACTCATTATTGCATGAGTGACTGCTGCACACTCTGAGAGCTGGTTCCAGCTTTTTAAAGCAACCAGCTGCAGTCCTCGTCCTCTTTCCTCATGTCCAAAATGCTGAGGTCTTTCTATTCTGACTTCCAAGGACACTGGATTTTTGTTTGTTTGTTTGTAGGGCACAATGTAAGCATGACTTTCTTGAAGCCCTCTGTGCAATGAGCTTGACAGAGCTGGAAGATATCAGTTTAATCAGTGCCGTGGCAGCTTGGCAATACTGTCTTTTATTAAACCTGAAGATTAAATGCTGGTCTTTTAGGCATCGCAATTCTATACCTTCTTTAATTTTGTTGCTGCTGAAATGCGTTTTGCACTAAAATCCATTATTTTCACCATCAGAGAGAAAGCTGTAGGATTTTTTTGCTACATGCCCCACTAAAACATAACAAAAATAAATATAAAATTTTTTACCAATATTTGCTGTACAGAAGATCTTCAGTCTACATGACTCTGAGTAAAGAAGTTAGTATCATCCAACTTCTGAAGTTTCCTGTAATTGCTCTACATGAAAATCTATATTTTGAGATCTTTTGGAGAATAATAAGTATATAATGAGAACGCAGTTCCTAATAATTTGAAGTGCTGCAAAAGTAGACTTACATCCAGGTTAGTGTCAGACTAGAAATACTAGAAAACTTTGAAAAGACTCAGTGGCAGCTTATTTACAAATATACTATTTATAATGAATGCATTGATACAGAATGACTCTTATAAAAAAGCAAGGCAATCTTTTATATAGACATAACAACATTACAATAATTCAGATTAAAAGTACATTTTTGTAGACTGTTTACACTCTCACTTATGTTTTAACCACAAAATTAGTGTGGTCTGATATTTTTCCACAGCAAAGGTCCTGTGCAGTCCTGGTTAAGATCTAAATCAGAATAATAATAAGCATAATTTTTTGATATTTGCTAATGTGAAAACAAACCCATTTGTAGATCCTATCATTTGTTTGTAATCATCCTTATTGTGTCTTGAAGTTTGTGTTGTGCAAATGACCACCAACTGCACGTTTCTAACTAGAAGCTATTTTGGGATTTCTTTTGATACAGCTGAGGTGTGACACTGACAGGAAAATTCTTCGTTGCATCCAGATATGAAAAGTGTCCTGATATGGATTTGTGCTGATTTAGAAGTTTAATTTAGTTTTGGGTTAAAAAAAATAAGAAAGGGAGAGAAAAAATAACCTCTCAAAGCTTTCTAATTGTTAAATAAAAGAGATTTTTCAAATCCCAAGGATTGAAGATGACACTTGAATTCCAGGTGACAAAATGGGTTTAAGCACTAACCAGAGAGACAATCCAAGTATCAATTGTCTAAATCATGAACAAATACAACCTTCAAGATGTCTAAACATGCACGTTCCTAAAAATACTGAATCGAAAAGAAGTGAATATTCTACAATCCAAATCTTTCTAAAAAGGGTGCATGAAGTCAAAATGGGAAGTCCCAATTATACAACTCTGTGACCCAACTTAACAAGCAGCATTTCCACTGCACTTACACCAGACAATTCTGGTAACAAACTTGAATATTGGACAGTAAGAAACACAACATTAAAAGGCTTATGCTAAAAACTTTTGCAGAGAATTATTAAAAAACCTCCTATTTAGCAAATTAATATGCAATATTGTGACCAACGTGAGTCACAACAGCAACTGTTCCTTCTTTTCATGGCTTAGCAAATCTCTGATCTGCTTTACACCTTTCCAGACTTCCATAATACTACACAGTCTATAACAATTGAGCTTGTTAAATCAAGGCATGATTCAGGATAGTGTCTATGGGTCATGAGTATGTATGTACCCAGGCACAGACACATACAAAATTGATATTTTGGCTATGGACAAGTAATCAAGGTCATGATTTTCATCCAAAGTAAAGACTCTCATATTTTTCAATAACAGTTCTAAATTATTTTCCTCAGTATAGCAAGGAGAATAAACACTTAATACAAGTATCTGGGAATCACTCGTTTCTCAATCTTATTTTCAAAAATGCTGTAAATAATTTATTTCTCTACTTGTCTATGCTTTCATACATGTATAGATACACAAATACATTTTTGTATTTATGTATACATACAATTGTCAGAATGACATTCTTTCAATTCATACTTTAATTGATATGGGCAAATAAAATTTTTAAACATGCGTAAGTCAGTATGTGTGTTCAACTGAATGTCACCAGGCAATGAAACCACCTAGAATCTACAACAGTTAACAACCCAGCATCCTGGGAAATGCAAAAGTCTGTTATTTCAGGAGGTAAGACCATTTTGAATTATCAAAATGGCTGGTTTTATATGGATCTATGTATAGATCTGAATATAAATCCATGTATTGTACTTATAAGGATTTATATACATGTATTTCCAACCTGTGCCAGATATTTAATGCTTTAAGCTTTCAGATAATTTTAAAGAACTTTTCAGATTCTTCTGACTTGATTTCTCCTGCACCAGAACTTCTCTCACACTGCTCTTATTCAAATCTCCCTTGAGACACTGAAAAAATAAGCATTCACCTCGAAATGTATAAAATTAAACTTCTAAAACAGGGCTCAGGATTATCTGGCATTGCAACAACCATAATAGTACAAAGATAGTTTGAAAAAAATATCCTGTTTTTAATATAGTAATGAATTAAAACATAGCTTTATTTATTCCTATAAGTGTACTGAAAAGAATAGCTTGTTTTTAAGTGAGTGTAACGAGCACTATTTTGGTAACCAACTTCTCCACAGGAATTTATGTGCGAGAGGGTCAGCTCCAATCATACAGTCATTAACCATGTACCTTAACAAGGTGAATAATCAACATATTTACAATCTAAACAAATTCAATCCCTTGAACTCTTATAAAAACGGGATTGAGGAGCAGACAGGGAATGAGACCAAGACGTTTGGAAACACAAGGGGTCGCCACTTTTGCTTTAAGGAACCATATTAACCAAACCGGTTTCCCCCCTAGTGACCTGAGGGCACAAACACGGACTTTGCAGTATATTCAGAATTTCAATTACAGTCTTGATACTAAGCACTTCAGCATCTTCATATTTTAACTCCTTAGTGCTGAGAAAGATTAACTCAGGCAGAACTGTAAGGAACTAGCCTTTTATAAACTAAAGTCTAAACTGAAAAGCTACAGTAGACGTAAAAAAAAAAAAATGGGAAGGAGGGAGGGAACGACAGAGAGAGTGTGTGAGAAAGAATAGAACATTACTTAGTAAAATCCAGTGACATCTACAATAGTTTTACAGCATGTTTAAGCCCTCTAAGGTTTTATATCTCCACCTGCCTTCCATTTAAAACTTACTCCTTGTTAATGAAAAGACATACAACAAAACAAAATGCAAGTAGATTGAGGAAATATGTCTAAATAAGCACGCCTGAAAGCCAGAAATAATATTCCCAAACTTCTGCATGTGAAACAGATTTCCCATGTCATCCATTGATTTGATTTTGTGCAAAAGGTACAGCCCTGTAAGCCACACTACCCCAGCAGCAATTCCAGTGAGTATAAACAGAACAGTTCTTGGGTAACCATGGAATGTGACTGCCTCGAGTTCTTACCCTCCTGAAAAAGGACAACTGCAAGTGCAGCAATAGTGGAAATCTCCCTGAAGCATCTTCTGCCTTCTAAAGAGCCAAGAAATTAGTGATAAAACTGAATGTCCACTACTTACAGTGTTTCTCTTGAGCTACCAACATCTGCACAAATGAAAAAGGTGCCTCTTTTTTAACAGATCGGTTTAATACTGAAACAGATAGGATGAAGTTAAAAAAGAATAATCAAGATACTGAACTGAATATTTTGAAGCAAGTGCCCCAGCTGTGGGGAAAAGTGCATTTAGTTCAGCAGCAAAACAGCACAGTGTGAAGATATTGTGCTTGGACACAGAAGTTCCATAATGGAAGGAGGTACAAGGCAAGTCAAGATATAAAACCATAGTACATTGTTAACCAACCTTAAAACTTACATATATTGCAGTGTTTAAAAGTAAGACACATTCATTTATTGTACAAGGTCTATAAGGAATCCTTAAAATTGCCTGTTGTAATGACTCAACATTGTAATAAAAATGTACATATATATTATTTCCTTGTCACTTAACTGTACTGTTAGACCTCATGGACTTGTTACTTCACACAATGAAAACCGCTCTTCACTGAGGATACTCCACATTTTTACCAATCTGAAAAGGTTTACTTGTGCTAGAAAAGACCAACCGCAAAAGGCTCAGTTCAGATATGTTATGCCTGCAACTGGTAACTCAGGGAAGCAAGACTTAAAGGAATTCAAGCTTTTTTTTTTTCTTTTCTTTTTGTTTTGACTGCATCCTTTTCACCTGCCAGTTGTTCTGATGAGTATGCATTTCATATACAAACTGGTTGATAAAAATTCATCAGCAGAGGCATATAAACTCTAGATATGATTGATTAAAACAGAGCAAATCAGAATAAAACAAAATCCAGTGATTTACTCTGACTGTAAACAATATAAAAACACCATTTGCTTCAAATCTCAAAATAAGTTAAAAGAAAATACCAACCTCAGGGGACATGACCCTTTCAGGTTTTGACACAAAAAAAAAAAAGGGGTGGGGGGAGGGGAAGAAAACAGAAAAGTTCATTATTATAAAGGTTATACATTTCTCTTAACTGAAAGTAAATCTAAGCAAAACTGGTTTTGTCCCTTAAATTTAAACTTTGAGTTCATTGGCAATTGTTTTAAATGAACTGGCATTTTCAGATTATTCAGACAACTTCCATCAAGTTCAGCAAAGAAAACTTAGACAAGCATTTTTACAGAATTTAAAAAAAAAAATCTAAATGGCTATGATTCCTCTATTAGCAGAAACACATAATGCAGTCTTAAATTTGCCTTTTTATATTATTTATATATTTATATATATATAATATAATATAAACCACATATATTATATTATATATACATATACAGACAATTACAACATTAATGCAGTTTGTATTTTGTACAGTGTATTGGACAAGTCGATGAGCATCAGACCATGGCACGATATGGTCCCTGCATTTTTAGGAACTGAATGATGAAGGAGGGTCCTCCTGCAACAATCTGAGGTGGAAGGTGGCTGAGCGGGCAGTTCTCAATGCTCATTATTGACAGTTTGCTGCAAAGAGCCAGCTCAAAGGGAAGGCTGTGCAGATTGGGGTTGTCATTCAAATACAGTTCTTCCAGATTCTCCAGTGTACCTGGTTAAAACAAAATAATAAGTAGTAGTAATACCTTTTTGATTCATGCAGTTTCTAACTTTTAGACAGAGGCTCTGAGTCCACTTGAAGACTCTTTCCTATACAGAACCTTGAGTCACTGAGACTCCTGTTCTCAAGCACAGCAAGTTCTGTTCACCAGCACCTAAGCAAGAACCAATTTGCTTTAATTTCCCTGTAAAAATATCCACTGAGGCATCTCCTTTAGATAATAAATGAACTGCAAATATAGAGAATAAGAGAACAGAAAGGGAATTCACCATAGCCATTCACAAGCTATGCAAGTGCAGGCAACATGGAACAGCTATCTACTCAAAAGGACCTAGGAAATATTATGCCATACAGGATCTATTGTCTCTTTAAAAATATCTATGCTATTCCTTTTATGTAATTATAAGCCATATATTAAAGACCTGAAGCTGTAACTGTCATATGTCACAGTAAAAAAGCAGAAGAGTGTGACTTCTCTGCACAGAAAGATTAATTTATGAATTTATTAAATGGAACTAACAAGTGTGAAATTTTTTTCCTGAATTAAAATTTTACAGTTTGCCTCTACACATACTGCAATACAGGTTAACCAGAAGCTGGAAAACAGAGTAATTTCTTCTTAAGACTTCCATTCCTCCTTTCAAAAACATAGAAGTCCTCCTCAAAATATTCCCCACTTTCCCATCTTATACACCATAAACATCTCCTATAATCTAAGAGACTATTTAATCTTTCACAAGAGAAAGCAGCTGGCAGGACTCATGCATGGAAAACCAACCAAAAGGAGAAGCTATAGAAGAAATAATGAGAAGCAACTGATAGCATGATACATGAAAGTCACACCTGACAATAAGTAACTATTCTCTCATCTGTGAAGACAACCAGCTTTAATAACCAAACTGCACTCCTACAATGGTATTTAAAATGTTCTTACTGATTTTAATTCCACAGTTTGCTTCCACAGCATCGAAACTCTCTCCACTAGCTTATAAATTACAAAGCTCTGGGTTTAGTTTATTTTAGGTTTTTCTCACATTGAGGCACATATAAGATGAGCAGCTGTAATGGCCCCTCACCAAAGATGATGCCAGAGACAAACCATGCCTTCTTCATCTGCACATCACTCTAGTGCTATTCCTGTGGCACATCCTTCACATCAGGCTGCACATATCTAGAAGTTTCAAATTAATTTTGTGGCTTTTACTGATGGGCAAAATAGCTGGCTATGACATGTGCTTTGCCCAGACACACTGCATCAAACCAGACAATGGGATCTTACCAATTTCCTCAGGAAGGTGTGTGAGAAGGTTCTCTCCGAGTCCAAGGTGCGTCAGATTGGTGAGATGACCAATTCCTCTTGGAAGGGTGGTCAGCTGATTGTTAGTCAGAACCAATTTCTAAGGGAAAACCACATTTTTACAAATTAAATTGATGATTTTTGCTTGGAATGACAGCAAGTAACAAGATATGTGGCTGACAAATGAATGGGTTCTACTCTCAAGAATTTGAACAAGAAAAATTTCAACCATTCATCAACATTTCTAATCTCTATCAAGCATCACTGAATGTAAAAATAAAAAGGTGCCTAATAAAACACATGCCTAAACATAGAAGAGCATGACTGAAATAATTCCTGGGGTGGTATCACGCTCACGGTACAACAGTTAAAACCTTCACAGATTTTTTGATCACTATTAACTAATAAAGCTAGGGAACAGATAATGGGGACTAATTGTGAGTGAAGTTGCACAAGACTCTTAACTTTTGTTTCTATGTCCGCTCTCAAATAGTTTCCACTCATCCAAAAAGCTGCAATTAAATCAGCATGATGTAAATAAAGGATGTAAGATGCTTATCTTGACCAATTATTGTTTCACCTGCAGATCCTTGAGGTAAGCTATTTCATTTGGCAAGGATTCCAGTTTGTTTTCCTCTAGATCTAACTCTCGGAGTTTCCGCAGATTTCCAATTCCATGGGGAAGTTTCTTTAGGAGATTGTTTGACAAGATGAGAACCTCAAAAAAGAAACACCACACACAGAATTTCAGCAACAAAATAAGTAAATAACAGATTAAGATACTTTTTTTAATATATTTTCAAGTAATGAAGTCCAATATTAGCCTACATTTACATTAAGGGAGTAGTTTAACATTTTAAAAAAATAAAACAAGTCAGTGATTTAACATAATTTTTTCAAGTTTTTAATGATACAAATACATACATTTAGTATATACTTCTTTCAAATATTATTATACATAATAATAAATGTAAAGCAAAAACAATAGAAACCTTATTTCTTCAAATGACCAAAGAAAAACAATCTCTTCCTGAATTTGCCACCTATCATTTTGTTATGCTTCCTTATAGCCATCTCACAATCATGTTTTACATTATTTGCTGTGCTTTCCAAGGCCTCCTTAAAAAGCTTAGTACTTCCTCTTCTCCCTATGTCCCTTTGGTTAGGAGCAGCAGCAAATAAACACACAGATGGGAGCAGCTAAGCAGAACACTGGCTTTCCAAAATGGGCTGCCATCACACACCCACGCCTACTACAGTGATGTCCTCTTGTTTTTCTCCTCCTTTCTGAGTTGAATTATAAATACCCCAGGTCCAAAAAGTGTATCTTTATTTGCAGGGTTAGCAGAGTTAACAGTTATTCATTATTTCACAGGCAAGTTAACTAATAGTACACTAATACACCATTTTTCCTCCAGAGAAACCCTGCAGTTCTTGGAAGTAATCAAGCCTCGTAACAGTACCATGAGTAGTCAGGTAATTAATTACTGACTAAACAATGCTATTATCTAGCTCTTTAAGGAGGCACATTGAAACATGAGGATGTGAAACAGCAGCCAGTGTGGACCGTCATGCCAGCCACACACAACCAGTCAAGGCTGCAAGTGCCTGTCTTCTACCAATAATCCCAACTCTCACTGGTTTCATGTAATGTGAAAATACCAGAGGCAGGAACAAAACAAAGGCATGGTGAAAATCAAAGTGAAAGAAAGCCAGTGCCTGAGGATTAGCACAAGCAGCATTTCAGACCATTCTTTATGCACTACACATGCACGAAGCAGTGAGAACAGTAATGTTTTAATTGCATATCAAGAAACAAAGGCAGGAACAGACAATATTACCTACGTGCAATGCAGCTGACTTAGCACTGCTGTGGGAACCTTCACTTTTGTGTAAACACCACCCAAACAGCCCTTTGTGTTTGATTTTTTAATTACAGAGAAACACAGTGGTAACAGGTCAGCAAACCAAGCAGCTCTCCAGCTTCAGTAGCTGACAGACCACCAGCAAACCCAGTTGTTAGAGGTTACTAATTTCCCAATCACATCAACCGCAGCCGTAACTTAAAAGGGAACTGGGCTATTAAGTAACTATTACTCTGTCATAATTTTAGCCCCACACTACAGGAATAATTAGATATTCACAGAAGTCACACTGGAAATTTGCAATTTCAAATATGCCATTTGTTATAGTTCTTTAACAGATTTTTCCCAGCAACTCACAGAGCCTACAAAGTCCCCTCAACTGCCCAAACAAGTACCTCTGTCTTTCTGTCCCTCCAAGGCAATAATTTGTCTCTGCTGATGGTACCCTGAGAAACAGGATGAGGGGACAGAGCAGGTTTAGTTCATGCTTTTAACCTACGAGTTCTTCCCCCTCAAAGGCTGGGAATTCCCACCTGGCTGCCTACAAGGTTCACAGAGCTACACTCAAACCACCCCTGGCTCTCAAACATTTCATTATGTTTTTCTGATCCCTGATGCTTCCATGCTGGTCTCCAGGAACTGAACCAAGTTCAGCAACATTGCATTCACAACACAGATTCCTGTTGAGAAAAATTTTCTTTCCACCTGGCTAAAAATATAGCTGTACATAGTGGTTTGTGCACACTCATCAAGAGCCTAAAGAACATTCAAAAGCCGTTTACGACAGCCACAAACAGATGCAACAGGGGATTAAACAGCACAGATACACACATTTACTTAGCTTTATTTGACTCAAAAGTAATATCACTTAAACCTGAAGTAGAGAATGTGTTGTATTCACTGAGCTGTTAACTTATACTCTTCTCACCTCGAGAGAAACAAGCCCAGAGACATCCTCAGGGATTTTCGTGAGCTGGTTAGTCGCTAAGTTCAGTTCTACCATACTTGTCCAAGTCCCGAAGTCCAAGGGGAGAGACGTCAGCTGATTGTCCTGTGATTTAACATATCAAACATTTAGGGTCTGTCCTTGCCAGAAGTTGGGAAGGCATCTGACAGATTAAACAAACTGCTAAAAGAAATACTTCATAACAACATAGTTGATAATGAAATCAGAAGAATAAAATGTTATTAATTGGCTTTTTTTTTTTTTTTCAAATTCCACGAAATATTACTGGTGCCAATCTAGAGTTACAGAATTGACTCTCTATTACTAATATAAACTGAAATGCAAAAGTTAGAATCACATAATCCTCAAGATCTTTAAAAAAAAAATTTTAACCACTGTCCTATTTCTGCTGAATACAATGGATGGTGGGCACAAAAAAAGAACAAAAAGTTCACTGTAACTTACAAAGGTGCTAACAGCAAATGTTTTAATCCTAAAAATATAGAGATTTTTTAAAAAATCCAAACAAATCAATCAAGAGAATAAACACCATCACTAAAAAATCCCACCAGAACCCACACCCTAAACCCCTGTTGAGAGGAAAAAAGCCAACAAACCCACAACCAAAAAAAGAAAAAAAGAACCAAAAAACCCCCATATACTTTAATGGCTCAGAGTAAAAGCATCTGAAATTACACTGAACATGTTACTGCTCAAAATATTTTTTAAATATTTGATTTAGACCAGACACCACAAAATCTTTCAAAAAATGGTCACACAAAGTTGTGGTAAACAGGCAAAGTCACAAATGGGTACGTGAAAAAACTGGACAATGCAAATTGAGGATTCATTTGTGTCAAAGTGTTCTAAAACAGTCGCTGAGCTTAGCTACTGATCAAGCATTTCTTGAAATAAATCTATTCATAGAAAAATATCATCTCTTTTCCCTACTTTAACTGTAACAGCACACTTAAAAGTTCTTTTGCTTTGCTCTTCAAATATTGCCAAAAGTCTCTAGACTTAGGTTTTGAAAGACTATATTTTAAAAAGTTATTTTACATACTTCTGTTTATAATGTAAAAGTTTAACAGTCTCTGAGAGAGAAATCTACATGCTTGTGTCCCATGTGGATATTCAAGACCTTTGCAGCCAGCTGTCTTATTTTCATTGTTCAAACTGAAGCAAATGTGACAAAATCTTAACTAACAAAACATAAAGAAAATTAGTAACACCTTGATAGCACTATTTTACACTAATACAGAATTATTTACATATGTGATAGCAGCAGCATCCACTTCAGCATGATAAATTCATTCCTTACATTATTAAGTCTGCCAGAATTCATGGAGCAGCAAACAGTGCTCCTCATTGATTTTACACAGTAGCATGCTTCTATGCCTCACCTTCATGTTCAGCTTACTTAATACTTTAGCTCTAGAGAAAATTCCAAAGGGGATTTTATTGATGCGGTTGTGCTCCATATTGAGAGAGTAGATTGTGGAGAACTGGGACGGGCCACCCACAGGATAGGACTGGAAGCAGTTCCTGGCCAATGTTAAACTAGTCAGTTTGACAAGGCTGGATAAAAGACCCTGTAGAAAGAGAAAACCACCCAAGAACTTAGGACAGATTTATTTGAATGCATCTCTTTTCCCTTATGGGTCTAATGAGAAATGTTTTCCCCCCTCAAGTCCATCCCCTGAAGACGTGTTGCAACACACAAACCAGTGTTAAATTTGATAAAACTTCCACCAGCAACAATCTCTGTTCACAGTCATCAGTCACTACCTTATTTCCCCCTTCTTCCCTGCATGCTGACAGATACTATAAAAGCAAACATACCACATTTAAAAGCACAGGTTTGGGAGGTTTGGTAACTTTTCTCCTCTGAAAGCAATTTTTCTAAGGACATGTTGCTCCAGGAGAGCAGGGGCAGTGTGTCCATCCCATCCCCAGCAGCTGTTTTGGCTCCAGTAACTCACCCACATCAAAATGGGGCCCAAAGAAATATCAACACCACACAATGGCCCCCAAAAGAGGCATTGGATAATTCCAGTACAAATCTTTGGTAGCTTCATAAAAATCCATACTGTGATCACAACTTTGCAGTGTCTTGTAATTACACCATAACAGTTTCAGATAATCAGACAGAGAAAAATAATAGGATGGGTTGGAAAATTCCATTGGTTTTTTCCTCTTTCTAAAATATTCCTAAGTAGTTACTGCTCTATTTTTTTTTCCCCTTAAAAAAAAATAAAAAGCAAGAAGCCTATAGGTAAGCTGGATAGCAAGGGCTGCCCACTGAATCCAGAGTTTCATTTCTTTCGACAATCTAATTAGATTCCAAAATCCCAGCAGCCCATATCTCAGTTCATGTAGTAGTTATGTGCCAAGCACATTGCTGGAACTGTGGAGATGGATAATGAGATCTAAATTACTGCTGAAGTGTCACCTTTGCTTATTACTACACCAACTTGAATCCAGCCCTATTTGCTTAAGTATTACAGAAATTGGAGATTTATGCATGGCATTACATACCATAAATAATGCAACATCTGCAATCAGGAATGAGCAGTAACAAGATAATGATTCCAACCATATTCCTAATGTCAGTATTTCTGGATTGCAATTTGAATATGGAGCTCCATATTCACTGTAAATGCTTTGAGAACATGGCTTTGCTGTTTCACCAGGAAAGCTTTGGCTACTTTTATAGTTTATTAACATTATTGTAAATAAAATAGGATCTAACAGGGACTTACCTACATGCCCTGGCTAAAACTTTAGACAGTGGGGGCATCTCAGCAAATATCAGTGAGGCATTTTCCTCACTACAGATAAAATAATGGATCTTGAAATCAGTATTAATCTAATCTAATCATTAATTAGTATAATCTTTGGTTAGGAAATATTATTTCTACCTATACTTTAATTAAAATATATTCGTCCTAGGGTTAGGCAGTCCCTGAGCTCTAACACGCTTTATTGCTTCAGATGGATCTTGGCATTTCAAAAAGCTGGTTTTGAAGGCTGCTTGTATACCAAAAAAAATATCTAAAATATGTTAGCTAATTCACTCTAATAGCCTAGAGTAATTAAATGCATTTGAAGGGAAGCGAGAGAGCTTTGGCAGTACAAAGAGAACAATGCTCTTACATCTATGAGAGCTGCCTTCTTCCAGCCCATCCTTTTAAGATAAAATATTTATTAGGCATTGTGTCAGCAGCTTCAGCTATGTTTTGAAATTCACAAATTTCTTCTACAAATACAGTTCTTTGTCTTATAGCACAACATGCTTTATTTTAAGCAGATTACAGCATAAACGATACACTTCTGCAAACTTAAGTGTTAACATACTGTGGGCAAATATACCTGAAGAAGGCAGCACAGTTACAAGAGGTTTGTATTATGACTAAACATGTTTTAAAGCAAGTAATCATCCCTCACGTTAGCTTTTTGTAATTACACTGTAGTTTCTTTTGTAACACATCTGGGTGGGGTGGGCTAGCTTAGCTCTCATCCTAAAAGCAGCCTGGTGCTTTCACTCTAGCATTTTCTTAAATTATAGTCTTGCCCAAACATTCATTAAATTCTCTGTTTCAGTCTATCATTGCTGAGCTCAGAAATTTATCTGAGGAAAATTAGTTACTTGCTGCCCTTTGTTACTGTAAATACTTTGCCTAATTCCAAGTGCATTTTTTTTCTTCTATTTATAGTTTGCTATATACATATTTAGATAACCTTTAACCTCATTTCATACTAGTAATTTCGACGATTTGGGGTCATGGGGATGACAGCTTAGGAAAGCAGTTTGACCATCATTAAGCAGAAGAGACTATGTTGTGTCATAAAGTCTTCATCTTAAAAGGTTCTAAAGAAATTGAATAAATATCAAAAATAAGAAGCAATCACAGCAGATTTTTTTTCTGTCATCTGAACAATTACTTCCAGGCACTAATGCTTCACAAAGCAGAAACACTGAGAAACACTTATCTGTCTTGAAGGGTGGGAATCTGAACTCATTATTTAAGGTTTTCTAAAGATACAGCACAGCAAATACAACCACGTGTTGCTCCCAGTTTTGACTCAAGTTGTATGACATTAGTCCTTCTATACTGATTAAATATACCTAATATTTACACAATTGACATAATTCACATTACTTTTAGGTTAAAACAAAGGTTATTCCTCAGAGTTAAGATGCAAGATGAAATAATTTCCCCTGTTCCACTCCCTTTACAAAACATGGATCCTCTCCAGCAGCATCCCCTCCCAAGTCCACTCCCTCTACTCCTCACCTCTGGTAAAGTAGAAATGTTGTTGTTCTCCAAGTTCAGCTCATCAAGTTCACTGCATTTTGCTAAAGACTTGGGAATTGCTGACAGCCTATTGTACCTCAGGCCAAGACGACTTAGACTGGACAGATTTCCTGTGGGTAGAAAACAGGTGTTAATATGCTGTGAGAACCACACAAACACACAGAACAAGGTGTGACTTCTGATTCTTCTGTTGTCTCTCACCCTATACTTCAAAATTTCAAATGGTGAAATGGAGCTATCATCCCAAAACAGGAGATACATATATTTCCAATGCTGAAGTCAACCATGCAGAAGTAGATTGTGGATATTAAATATTATTCTGAACTTCTGCATAATATGATAAGCAAGCAAAGCTTATTGTCCTATTGTAAAAGCCCTTCTATCCTGATCTTTCTATCAACAAAATATACTATCATTTTTCCAGATGTCCCAAAATGACTTTTTAAAATTAAAGACAGTATATTCAATGCCATGAATCATATTACCAGAACTGGGCATGCATCATACTATTCAGGCCCTGGCAAAACAATTTCCTCTGCAGGGAAAAAAAACCCTCACAGCTTTACCATCCTCCAACAGCAAGAAAACCTTTAACTGGTGATAGGAAAAACCCCAGAATTTCCAAGTTTATGAGTGACACTGAAGGAAAAGTCTGGAGGAAGTCTACAAAAATCTGGACAGTAGTTAATTTAAAAATATTTCTGAATATTGCTAGGCTGATGGTCCCAGTTGATATTCTTTCTGTCAGGGAATAAAAATCTTGAGAAACTTGCAACTTGAAAATTTCCTATCTGAAGCTGCCTTTAGCTCCAACCTCTGCCATCTAACAAGTACTAAAGACCAAAACCAACTGCTCAAGGATGTTGTTGAACTACAAGGTGCTGGGGCATTTAGCCTCTCCTGCAGGTAGCAAGGCCTTGAACTTCACTGAAAAGCCAACTGCCAAATTGTACAAAGAAACTTGACCTCTGGCTCATCCCCACAATCAGAAAAGGTGTCTGTGCAGGTGTGGACTTCACACCAGGGGAGTTTGCGAACACACAATTAATGCACACAATCAGTTCCTTGCAAAACATTTGCTGGTTTACACTCACTTTTACAACCATCCATGGCACAATGGATGTTTGCAAATTGAAGTACCAGACAAAGATATGAGAAAGGAAACACAGAATTTAACAAATAGTAGAATCAATAACCAGAAGTAATTTTAAAAGATGAAGGGGTCTTAATATGTACAGTCTAACTGCTCATTACATGGACGATGTATTAGTGTCTATGCATGTGCACTTATACAAAAACCTTATACAAACTGGAGCACAGTGAAGGAAGAAGTAAATGTAGAGTATGTCTGCTAGACAGAGAAAAACTTTCAACAAAGCAAGCAACAAAATATCTCTTTCCTGAATCTGGTCAAAATAAATGTCCCAACATCAACAAATAGTTGGGAATGTAGATAATAAAAACTTGAAACTAGAAAGAATATTGTATGATTTCGCAGTTGTCTCTAAAACAGAGAAGTCACAAGAGCAGTGAAAGTAAAGAAAAAAAAAGGCACCAAAAAAATAGCAGAAAACAAAAAAACGTTAGCTCCTCCATAAAACTGCAACTGAAAAAAATTCAAAACCCACAAACTCCTTAATATAGAACAAAAATCACCTACATCTTCCAAATTGAGAAAAAAAGAGGATGAGTTTTCAGTGCATATGTGATAATTATCTGACAAGCTCAGCAACAAATTTTTCTTAGTACCATCAACAACTAAACAAAAGTCACAACAGGTAGCTACACACCACTGCTTAACTAGTAGTATATTGGGATTTTGAGTTCTAGTTTTTAAAGTGATGGATTCTAAACAAGTATAAAATTAAGTTTTATAGAAGCAGCAAAGAAAGTCTTTACTTAATCAGAAAAAGGCATTTAAAATCCAAGGCTATCAATACTGCACTCCAATGCACAAATCTTCATCTTTTCCTGTTAAATCCTGCAATGCATATACACACAAGAGAATAATTGAGACCTGTTCTGATCCTACAGTCCATTAGTATAAAGACACAGTACATAACTTAGCTATTTCATGCTGTATTTGTGAGATCAGACATTGCTGGCTGAATAAAAAACTGGCCTTACTACACACAAAAAACATTCTATTGCAAGACTCCAAGATCACTAGGATTTGCCATGCTAGAGATGAACAAAGCACACCCTGACTGTATTTCTCTGAATTGCTATTTAACATTTTACTAAAGAATGAACAATAAACTTCACACAAAATAAGATATAAACCTACTATTCTTTTCACTACCTAAAACATGCGCTAGATGCTGATCTGGATTTTTCAGGCAGCAGGGAAGTAGACAGCATGATGCCAACTGTTGCTTAGCAATACAACATTGCTCTGCCAGTTCCAGATTGTGAGCACAGGCTGTATGTATATGGCTCTCTTCCTACCAGCAATGTGGCATTTCAGATAAATGAAACAAGGCAGCCGCTAGAGAGAGTCAAAATGTACCATAAAGAAGAGAATGACACACGTTGGCGATCCTCATGACATTATCATGAGGAGAAAAGAGGCATAAATAGCAGCTCCCAGTAATTTCTCCTTATCATAAGTAGCATTTCTTAATAGAACTTTATCACTGTTTCTTTACTAGTTATCTTTCTTCTCCATGGGAAAGACACACAAAGGCATAATAGAAGACACATCCTGTGTGTACCACATTCCTTATGATTGTTTTACACACCACAGCACTAAATACAATTATTCCTGAGGACAAACCAGTAAGATTTCAGGTACAGATGCATCAGTAGCACCTCTCCCACTGCTCTTGGAAGGACTGTCCCGAGCCCAGCTGATACAGGCAACATGAGCCACCTTCTCATTTCAAACCAGAATTTATTTACAGCCTCTCAGTCTTCTGTCAATAAGGCTCAGCTATCTTTTCATCCTTAGAGTGCATACACACACCTCATTGTGAATGTATCACAGTGTGAAACCCTTAATAGCTTTTACCTTCACATGCTGGACAAGCCACATCGTAGACCCACTTTCACAAAACAGGATACAGCTCTTCCCTCTGCCCAGTGTGTCCAAGTTAACTTGTCTTTTTAACAGGAATGCACCAGTACAATGTTAACATTTGCCTCCACGGTCCAGCGGCCAGTTGGCTAACATGAAAACCAAGTGATGAACTGTTTTACCACAGAAGCTGCCACAAGATGCTCAAGACCATACCTGGTGCACTGAACCATCAAATTATGCCACTTACAGCTCCCTGAGCTCAGGGTTATCTAGCTGATACCCATATTTACAGTTGCTTTACGGTGCTTGCACTCATCTCCATCATTCCCAGCTCAGCTACTGCTTTCTGAGATGGAACAGCACCAGGTATCTGCTGATGGGTTCTCAGGTTAGGTCTAAGGAATAAGGCACAGAAGGTAACAAGTGATCACGATCAGCTCAGACTGTCACCAGGACCATTTGCAGTTGTACTTTTGTCACTGAAGCCGTACCTCAGCAGCTGCTCTGAACCAGCCCCTCACAGGTAATGACTCAGAAAACGCTGCACTAGATGTTCGTGTACGTGACAGTTTGATAACCACAAGTGAAAAGCAGATACCAGCAGGAAGAGCAACAAGCAAAACGCCGTCCAACTTGTTTTCTTAGAGAGCCTGTTATGAAAACCCGGTAAACTCAATTGCCTTATTCACTGTTACTTCTAAAAAATAAGATTGCAAAGCTTGACTAAGCCCTGAACTCACACCAGGCCTAAGCAAGTCACTGAAAAGTCACTTGCTTTAGTTCAACTTTTGTCAAAAACAGTTACTCTTAGGATTCAGGTTTCACAGATGCTTTGTCTCAGGACCATTTTCTCACCAGCACAGTATTAACACCCATGAGCAGATGCCAGCTCTCAGGGTTGAAGCAATCTAAGCATGGAATTCATAATCCCTTCACTGGAGTGACTTTATGTCTCTCTCAGGATTAGCTGCTTCATTTACACAGAAATGAATTAAAAATCTTTGGAAGCATGTAAATCCAGAAATATTAAATTAAACTGATACAATAAAAGGGATGTGAAATAGATTGTTTAAATTAATTCTTTATTAAGGGTACTTAAAAAATATTAATCAAAGGAAAAACAGGTGTTTTCCAATTCCCCCCCCCGCCGCCAAAAAAAGAGAGAAGACAGAAAATAAAGCAGGAAACTATGCTAAGAAAATGATATTTTTAGAAAGACCACTTGAAGTGGTCTCTACATCTCTTTTTTAAATATTTCAAAATCAAGAGAAAAAAAGAACTGGTAAGTTGAATAATACAAAGAAATAAAAATGCCTAATTCAAAGCCCTACTAGTGCTTTTTAAACAGAGTGATAAATGCTCTCTTCTTCTGAGATTTACCACACCTCTTCATTTCACTCCCTTAGTTAAAATAATCCTTCAAATTCCCTATCCTTAGATGAAAGGTCATTAATAATGTGAAACTTAGTTCATTAAGCTAATTTGATGTCAGGATCAGTTGCTTTCTTTTAAATAAACCAAAAGCATTGGATCAATTTTAAAATCTGTTCACTACACAAAACTTCTACAGATAATGTTAAAAACACGAATTGAACTTATAAGAGCTGTGCACATCAAAATCCCATAAGATCATTATCAACAATATATGTGAACTTCAGCACACAATAGAAAATTGCAGGAACCTGCTACAAACAACATGGCACTATTAAGTATTTCAGATGGTCTAACTTGTATAAATATTCTAGGATTTGACTCAACTTGGCACACAATGAGCAGTCACCTACTAAAGAACATGTTTTACATGGGCACATGTTACTTCATAGAGTGCCATGTGCTTAATTCACTGAGGGATCTTCTCCTAGCAAAAAAAAATTTGCTGGTTTGCATACAAAAGATACCAGGTGTCATTTTCAACTAACTGAAAGCAAGAAGTACAGCCAAAATTAATAACACTTTTTAAAAAAAATAAACATGATGTCACTTAAAAAAATACATTAATTAAATTTAATACACCACATGATATTAATCTTGCAGTGAGAATAACAAAGATGATAATATGAAATAAACTTCACATTGTATGGGAGATAGCAG